CTTGATCAGAATTTGAAACAATTTGACTAAAACAAAACACATAAGCATTCAAGTCAACCATGGAAAGAAAGCTGACCGAAGGCAACAACCTACCTTCTAGTAGATCCGATTTGACGAAAGACCTAATTCGTCAAAATCACCAGACATCCCACGGGCACCCCTGAGGCTCCTTATCAAGGATTAAGAATTGACAATACAACAGAATTTTATAGTCATCCCAAAGCCTCTCCTCGCTAAGAAACAAGCTGCATATTGGATTACGGTGATTCACCCTCTGCCCAATAGACTAATCTTATTTTATCGATATAAGCTCTTCATTTCGAGATCAAGAGTCTACAGTCAAACTGGATCAACCAATCGACAAAGCCTAGTCAATCGAATCAGCCATTTCAAGCCAAACAAATCAAGCTCAACCGACCGACAACGCCAACTCAACCTGGCTAATTGGACTGGCCTTATCGAGCCGAAGCCATACTAGCCCAGCCGGCCGAGCAAGCGAGTAGTAGAGCAATAAGCTCATGTACTTAAAATACTTATAATATCTTGCACAAACCCCATTAAAGCAGTGAAAAAAATATATTAACCCTCCCTCCCCCTCCCTCCCTCCCTCCCTCCCTCCCTACACTCTATTCCATGGGATGTGATTCAAAGACAAATCATGATTCAACAAATATGAATGATTTGAGTGCTATAAATGTAAAATGTAAAGTTTAGGTGCATATATGCAAAGGAATTGGGTGGTATGTATGTAAATGCTCCTGTACCTTGCTATGTTAAGAATGCTCATAAGAGGCAGAGATAAGTAGCTTGATGGAGTAAACAACGGCAATTTCAATTCAGAATTGGGTGACAGCAGTGGCACAAGGTGTTGTCGTCCCCAAATCCTAGCCACATCAACAGGAAGCCATCTGATAGAACAAAAAACGATTTTTTTTAAGAAAATGAAACAGCTTTATTTGATTCATACAAGCAGAAAATTTTAAATAAGAACAGCGGCATAAAATCAACACAATAAGCAAGGCGAAGAAAAACGAAAGAGTACCCATTAGAATTCAGAGTCAATCGGCAAGCTCCTCTAGCAAGGAGGACCTGCAAAAGTCAACGCCTCGTCTGTAAGCCTAAATTCATCAGAAACAGAACAATTTTTACACAATGAACATGAGAAAGCTCAAAGTTACTTTGCCTGGCAACACTTAAAATTTCCGCCGAAAGACGCATAATGAAGAGGAGTGCTACCAGCTCCTGCATATTATTCAGAATAATCAAAATCATGTTCTGAAATTACATAATTTGCTAAAATCATTCTGATCACTAAGATACCAATACCTATGGCTCTAAAGGATGAATAATAATTAAAGGTTGTTGCGGATACATTTGCTTTAAAGTCAAGCAACAGCTGAACGCAATCAAAATGCCCTCTTACTGCCGCCACATGTAGCGCCGTCAAACCTCCATCAGCCACCTTGTTGACCAACCTCGATAGAGCTCTACAATCAATTTAAAAACTAAAAAGTTCAGTACTTTAACATCTGTGACAAAATTTAACTCTTGAAAAGCGGCATACAATTGATTAAATTCAACTGCAGAAGAACATTCAGTGCTCTTGATGTTCTTCAACCCTTCATCTGTCATTGAGAATGGAGCGCTCGGAACAAAGTCTGCAACTAGTAGCCTGATGCACCGCACATAGCCGCCTGCAGCGGCGAAGTGCAACGCCGTCTGACCGTTAAAGTACGCAGCCCTCGAAACCTGAATTAGTTGAAACTCGTATCCGTAAGCGAAAATGAAAATACAGAAATTAAATCAAACCGGGAATGAGAAATACGGAATTCACATACGTTGCATCTGAACAGAAGCAGGACCTGCACGATCTCCCAATGGCCATACCGACATGCTTGCATCAATGGTGTCTACATAGAAAATCCATAAAAGAGAGACTACATATTAGATTTTGAATCATAAAACGAAATAAAAAAAAAGAATTAGATTTTGAATCATAAAACGAAATAAAAAAAAAAGATTAAGATTTTTTTTTTTTTTAATACCAGCCCGGAGTAGTTGCGGGAGTTCACGTCAGCGCCCTTCTCCAGTAAAAGCGTGACTATCTGATCAACCATGCTCGCATAAGACTTGAAGAAAAGTAAAAGTAAATGAAGAAGAAGGAGGTGGAATGCGAAGGAAGAAAGAACCTCAACGTGCCCCTTTGCGGCGGCGTAATGTAAAGGTGAGTTCTGAGCGGCGAAGGTGCAGTACCTCGCGAGGCAGGGGTTCCACTCGAGCAGAGCAGCCACCTCTGCGACATCACCCTTCCTAGCAGCCGCTACCAGCTTATCGCCGGCGCCGGCGGGGCGGGCAAAACACCGAAT